GTAGAGTTACTATAACGCAGTATCAATAATGTATTGTTTTTAAACCCCAGCCTGTTGTTGGAGAAGATAGAGTTTGTGATAATGGTGTTCTACAACTGAATTACAACACGCATGCGACCGTGGAAGTCTAAAGGTAGCATGTTTTTGGCATTACTACTATCCGATTACAAGAGGAAGAGAAAAGCACGTATGCGCGTACCTGTCGCTCGCCTAGTGTATAGGTTAGGGATGAAATTTAACTGTACCATGAAATTAAAGGTGGTGTTTGTGTGAACAATTAGTTTTAAGAAACAAACAGTTATGTACAGGTGGTCTTCGGCCATCCAGGTGTGTCAATGGTGGCATCGGCCGGCTACAGGCGGTGTCTACTCATCTTCTAGTATTTTATGATGTTGTGCTTAAATCGGAGAGATACTTTTCTGTTCTGTGAAGTGCTCCGGGAGATAGTTTTTTTCCTACCTGTTCTGTGAAGTGCTCAGTTTTTTTCCTACCTGTTCTGTGAAGTGCTCCAGGAGATAGTTTTTGTTTGGAGGCGTTTCACTAGGAAGCTGTTTCTAATATTGATATTTCCATTGACGTCATCGAGCTTACTCTGTTTTCAGTTAGCGTGACTATGGAGACGTTTACATAGAAACTCTGTTCTCCTTTTTTTTTATCTCCAAATTCGTTCTGTTGCATTGCCTTCAGCACTCCATTAGGTAGTTATTACGAAATTTTGAAATATCTAAACTAATTGCATGTGAACTCTGTTTTTATCATATCGTCGATCTAGGCTGCCATGTTCGGCATGTGCAACACGCCTAAAGCTACCCACAGTGATTACCTTATTCTTTTGCACGAAGCAACATAATATTCAATTAAAGACCTTAATTACAACAGCAAATCAGCTTATCTTTCCTAAGCACAGGGGTTTTTACATGATAGAGTGGGAAGGAGAGGAACGGCAGAATGGCTCGATATTATCACATACATTTTACCGCTAGTGCATGTCACAACACTGCCATGCTTGTTGTCAGCTTGTAACCGTAAATGAAATAATATCGACGAAGCCTTATCTTGTTTAAATAACGCATCCGCACTCGTGACATTGAATGGAGAATTTTATTTTAAAATGTACGTGCGCTTTCCTTTCGTTTCATGAAAACTTAAGATGGCCTGGTTTTTCTTGCTAACAGTATAACTTAGGTTTGCAAAGTTAACATTATTTCGAGGCAATATGGAACTTCAACACACGAGGTCTATTGATATGTTATTCGATATCGTATATAATATGTTTATAACATTGTTGCCAGTGAAATACAGGAGTTCATTAATTTGGTTACCATTAATGATACGACTTTTGAAGTTTTGACCAACCGATGTGTCATCGGAAAGTTGAATAAGTAGGTTTTCAGTCAATGTTATTCTAATGTACATTTCTGGTTTTCTCGAATTTGGGATAAAAACAGTTGTTTAAGTGATTCTTACCCAATAACTAAATGTTGGAATACAACCTTTTTCTTAACACGCAACTTCATTCATGCTTGGATGATAAATTGGTATAATGAATAAGATATATCAGTAATGTGAGATTTAAATATGAATATTATATTTTTCAGTGATCTATACAATATATGCATGGTACAGAGAAGTGCAAATGTATACATAAGTACAATATAACAATGTGATACATATGTGCGGTATCACACATTGTAATATGCACATGTGCATCATACTAACAGCACACTACATTATTCTTTGACAGGGTGACATTATATTATACGTGAACATTATAACACATCATAATATACGTGAACATTATAACACATTATATTATACGTGAACATTATAACACATTATAATATACGTGAACATTATAACACATTATGATATACGTGAACATTATAACACATTATAATATACGTGAACATTATAACACATTATATTATACGTGAACATTATAACACATTATATTATACGTGAACATTATAACACATTATAATATACGTGAACATTATAACACATTATAATATACGTGAACATTATAACACATCATAATATACGTGAACATTATAACACATTATATTATACGTGAACATTATAACACATTATATTATACGTGAACATTATAACACATTATATTATACGTGAACATTATAACACATTATAATATACGTGAACATTATAACACATTATAATATACGTGAACATTATAACACATCATAATATACGTGAACATTATAACACATTATATTATACGTGAACATTATAACACATTATAATATACGTGAACATTATAACACATTATGATATACATGAACATTATAACACATCATAATATACGTGAACATTATAACACATTATAATATACGTGAACATTATAACACATCATAATATACGTGAACATTATAACACATTATAATATACGTGAACATTATAACACATTATAATATACGTGAACGTTATAACACATTATAATATACGTGAACATTATAACACATTATGATATACGTGAACATTATAACACATTATAATATACGTGAACATTATAACACATTATATTATACGTGAATATTATAACACATTATAATATACCTGAACATTATAACACATTATAATATACGTGAACGTTATAACACATTATATTATACGTGAATATTATAACACATTATAATATACGTGAACGTTATAACACATTATATTATACGTGAATATTATAACACATTATATTATACGTGAACATTATAACACATTATAATATACGTGAACGTTATAACACATTATATTATACGTGAATATTATAACACATTATAATATACGTGAACATTATAACACATTACATTATACGTGAACGTTATAACACATTATAATATACGTGAACATTATAACACATTATATTATACGTGAACATTATAACACATTATATTATACGTGAACATTATAACACATTATAATATACGTGAACATTATAACACATTATAATATACGTGAACATTATAACACATTATATTATACGTGAACGTTATAACACATTATATTATACGTGAACATTATAACACATTATAATATACGTGAACATTATAACACATTATGATATACGTGAACATTATAACACATTATAATATACATGAACGTTATAACACATTATAATATACGTGAACATTATAACACATTATATTATACGTGAACGTTATAACACATTATAATATACGTGAACATTATAACACATTATAATATACGTGAACATTATAACACATTATAATATACGTGAACGTTATAACACATTATAATATACGTGAAAATTATAACACATTATAATATACGTGAATATTATAACACATTATGATATACGTGAACATTATAACACATTATAATATACGTGAACATTATAACACATTATAATATACGTGAATATTATAACACATTATGATATACGTGAACATTATAACACATTATAATATACGTGAACGTTATAACACATTATAATATACGTGAACATTATAACACATTATAATATACGTGAATATTATAACACATTATAATATATTTTTAGCATTTCCTGATTATTTATTAAATTTTGTAAAAAATGTATGCCTAGTTATGATAATAAATTTTCTGAAATTGTCAGTTTTGCATGTCACTTAGCGGTGTTTCACTAAAGGCTTTATTATAACGCCCCAAGGGATGACGTAACGAAATACACTTAGGTACAAAACAGGTTAATTTCAGCATAGCTTTTTAATGTGGTAATCAGATCACACAAACTCGTGGTTGGTATTTAGGGTATTTCTTTCACTCTCGTTAGTTATTTTCCAAATGTTGCAAAAATACTCGCTAACGCTATTTTTAACTTTTGAAAAATAACAAACTGGAGTAACAGAAACACCATATACTACAACCACTCATTGTGCAACCTTTATGTAATACACGGGAATATTATTACACATTATATTATACATGTACAGTATATGACATTTGTGATATACGCGAACAACATGATACATTGTAATACATATATGCAGTACATCACTTTGTCATACACGTGAACAGTACAACGCATTGTATGATACATATACAGGTTATCACGTTGTTATATACATGAACAGTATAACACATTGTTATATACATGAACAGTATAACACATTGTGATTAACGTGAACAGTTTAGCACATTGCAATATTATCGTACTTAATAACATATTGTAACAGGTATGAACAGTCTATCACCTTATGCTATGCATGTGCGATATTACACACTATATATATATTACGTTATAGCTCGGGGTATTAATATAATGTGTTAAATGAATAGGAACATTATTCTTTCTTTTTCTTAGCAATGTTGCCCCGAAAACCTCTTCTCTCATTAGCATAGTTATTGTTATTATGAGACAAAGCGTACTTGAAATTGTCAAATCTTTACCATCATCGCATGATTTTTGAACAAGTTCGGTATTGTTTTGTAAAACTAGCTGTGATCTGTGGTGTGAACATGAAATTATATACCAAGTAATTCTTCTGGTAGATTAAAGTTCGATATCTGATCATGTGTGTTATTGGACATCCATAACTGACTGAGGTCGGTGGGTTTTACTCTGATAAAGGTAAAGAAGTGTTACGTCGACAAACCACGAGTTGTGTAGAATGTGGTTACTGCAGATGTGACAAGGACACATATTTCTTTTCTCGCTGCCATAGAAAGTATATCTAACAAAACCAATTATAAAGTAGTTATGCACGAAGCGAAATCAATGTTGCACTATTAATTTTATCATGGACACACAGGTGTAAATGTTGTTATTCTTAAATAGCAACTGTTATTTAATGTGAATTCATTAGCGTGATTATCAAGTTCCTTGAAAACCTGTATATGCATTAAATGTTATGTTTGTGTATGAAACGTTAATAGGAGGCTTATGACGTGACTAAAGGTCTCTAGTGTGAAATGGTAGAGATGAGTATTAGACCCCGGCGGCTTGCATGACCTTTACTGTAGTCTAATATTGTGTTGTTTCGTTACAGGTTGCTTTGGATCTACGACATTATAAACAGAGAAGGTTTATTAAGGATTCCGAGCTATTGATTGATCGCCCCAGCTTTAAGGTCAGTCTAGAGACCTCAGCATCAGTCGTACCTGACAAGATGCACGTCGAAATTTCTGTAGCACTCAACTTTGTCATATCTTATCTATACAGCAAGTTGCCACGGCGACGAGTGGACTTGTTGGCAGAGGAATTGGAGAAAGGTTTGAAGGGTAAATTTGAAGGACATTGGTACCCTGAAAAACCTATCAAAGGGACAGGTTATCGTTGTGTTAGAGTAAACGGAGAGAAGGTTGACCCCGTTATTATCAAAGCCATCTATGAATGTGGCCTTGACCTTACCGAAGTACAGTCCTATCTTCCTGCTGAGCTGATCCTGTGGATTGATCCATGCGAGGTGTCTTACAAGATCGGGGAGAAAGGCCCCGTCAAAATCCTTTACAGCGAGCGACGGGATGAGGACAGCACTGAGAAGGCGGATCGCGAGGTTCAGGCGGCGGCTGGCAGGAGCTTCAATCCCGACGCGCAATGCTTCAAACCTATTGACAACTTGTCGTCATCTTTCGGGAGCATGAATTTATCCCCAGGAGGTTTGTCTCCTTCTTCACCTACGTCGTCCAATGGCTGGCCAAATAGTACATCCACGTCGCCTTCGTGTGCCCTCTTTAATTCAACATCGTCCATTGGAGGCAGTGTAGGCGGTACTAATATCGGTACAGTGCCCTCTGCACCCGCTCCAACATCAGCCAAAAGTCCACTGCCTGCTTATGTACCCAAACAGGACAGGGTCCCAACACAGTTCACAGCCTCTACATTTGCCCAAACAAAATTTGGTTCAACAAAGCTAAAGACTCAAGCCAAACGACCAACTCGTCTCTCGCCGACAGAGTTTGGAAACTATTTCCGTCAGAGATCAGCAGCAGGGTTACAGACCGCTAGTTACAATTCCCCGCAGCGGCCGCGATCCCTGTCTCCTAGGGATCCACGAGTTGAATTCTATATAGACCAACAGCAGAGGGTATTCATGACGCAACAACAGCAACAACATCAGCAAATTCAGCAACTACATCATCATCAACAACAGCAGCAGCAGCAGCAACAACAACAACAGCAGCAGCAACAACAACAGATGCACCAGCAGCACTCTTCTCTGAGATCTCCACAACATCATGCAGCTCCTTCAGCACTTTCCGGAGAGCTTTATCACAATTCTTCACCAGTCACACATCATGTCCCGTCATTTGGAAGTCTTGGGGAACTGCTTCCGGGCCCACTTCCGTCTCCTGTCGGCTCTGCGGCGGCATCGCCAGAGAGCCACAAGTCTTTCATCGAAGGTTTGAACCTCAACACCGTGTCGTACTCTAGCCAGTATCCCCACATGTTACTAGCCAACTGAGTACTCAATGCCAAGGCTAACTAGGTGATAGAACTGATCACCGGGCGCCATGGACACTGTGTGATAGAATGTATTCCAGGAATGCCAAAATATTTGGGCTAATGGAAGTGAAAGGCCAAGTTAATGTTTTCTGCTTCTGAAGAGAGCAAGAATTTTTATTTTTATGGATATATCTTATATCATTGATGTAGTAATTATTATATTTAAACTGTGTTCACTAAACCACATGATTCCATTGGTTGGATCAAGACAACACGTGCAATGGCCTGTGTTCAACAAAGATTTATAGAAGACTAGTCTGTGTAAAAGCTCGTTTCTAATTCCAAATTAGAAAATATTGACGACAGGAACCATATTCCGAGAGAGAAAATTAACCTATTAGTCCCTTTGGATCAACGCTGTTCTACAAAGAGGATGATTTATTTGCGTCACAATGTTTTTGAAAGTAGAATTGAAATCCTTAACATCATCTGTGCGTTTCAACAAGGCTGTGTGTTATTACATCACCATTTCTTAAACGCACATAGTGATGACGTTACGTGATTTAAACACATTGCGAATGATCAGGTCAGGACTAACTTGTGTTCCACAGACCAAAGTGTCGCCATGTGAACAATTAGGAGGTGAGAATAAGAAACGTTGATATATTGATTAAAGTGTTTGTATTATGCTGTTGACAATGACCATTGTTAGATATAAACTTTCTATCTGATTTAACTATTTTTGTAACTTTGCTACACGGCCGGAGTTACTCGCTCGTTTTACAGACACGTGACATACGTCCATAATTAGATTGGGGAGTTTCTATCCTACACGTTTGTTATATTATGTCAAAATTGATCATCTATAGGTATTCACACAAATCTGTAAACTGCTCGCCAGATGGCGCCATCTTCTATATGATCGTATGGGTGTAAGGCTCCATCTGGTGTCAATTTATTCGTAGAGCTGGTAAAATTACACAATTAGGATACATTGTCTAAAATATTAACGAGTGTATGTAATAGTAAGATTGATACCAAGCCATTCGGTAACAGACAAGCGCAATTGTCTAGACTCCAAAGCATATTTTCCAAAAGGGAAGTCTTTTTATCACCTGTCATAGCTAAGTGTCTTGATTTTCTTGAATTTGTTATAATTTCTGGAGGATAGTTGAAAATATTGAATTTAAAACCAATATGTGGTCAAAAAGCTTTCCCTGTAGTGTATAGAGGGCGCAAGCGATTGACTTTAGACGGCGGTTTGCGAGCTATTTTTGTAGTGTCCTTATAGGCGCGAGCTCTCGACTCTATTTGAGCTCTGTCCAGAGAGTGGCAGCTATTAGCTCTTAAGAGCAGTCGATGAGCTATACCCTGTAATATATTGAAAGCGCAATCTACTGACTTTAGGGATGGTCGGCGATATATCCTTGTAGTGTATAAAGGGACCGAGCTATCAATGTATAAGCGGTGCGATTCACCAGCCTTGGAGGATGTTCAGCGAGCTGTCTCTGTCTCGACGGCGGGCGGCGAAATGTCCCTACATTGTCTAGATACCACTGTCTATTGTTGTCGGCTAACAGTCCCTATGCTGTCTAGCGCAATCGGCGAGCTATCCCTATATGATCTAGACTACGGAAGGCGTGGTATCCCTTTAATGTCTAGTAGGCGCGACCCTTTTCGGCCATGGACGATGACTTACCGACCTGTCCCTTTACTGTCTAGATCGCGGACGGCGGTCTATCACTAAAGTGTCTAGACGGCGCGACCTATCGGTCATGGAGGATGGTTCGGCAAGCTGTCCCTATACTGTCTAGACCACGGCAGCGGCGAGCTGTCCCTGTAGTATCTTGACCGCGGACGGCAAGCTGCCCCTGTAGTGTCTTAGTAAGGGTTACCATTGCGTCCGTTCTCGTTTTTTAAATCCAGCACAGGATTGGAATTGTCACGCATTAGTATGTACATAACATTATCTAGTCAATTTGTCGCAATATTTTAATATTCCCATAAATATGTGGATGTTGGTCTGCAGTTGTATAGGAAGATATATATATTCTTACTGTTTCTACAATCACGTGTATATATTTATATAACTGGGTATGCAGGTGGTTTTCTGATTCCTACATCAATTATATCGTTTACATCTATTATATATATATATAGTACATATATAAAATATATCTTTTCTACGTTGTATGATGTGAGCATAAGATCGTACATGTTTTTGTAAAGTATATTTTTAACTATAAACATGTATAGTTATTATTTTTAGTTTTAGTTCATCTGAAGACGCGTTTATTTAATAAATATCATCTTGTGTCATTTTATCATGATAGGTACATGTGCAATACTTAAGGGAAGAAGAATTGTTTAGACATTCGTACAGATCTTCCCACACATTATGGGTGAATAGTTTTTTTATCAGGGCTAGGTATTCGCTTATTAAGGAGACGGTTACCGCATATAATATGAACGTTGAAACTACTTTCAACATGGCTTTTTGTAAAAAGCAATATTAGATAGTTTTTTAATCATGAATTTGAAACTTTCACTAGAAAATCATTGACTTTTCCATTCATTTTGTGATCATATTTGATAGTTTTCGGAATCATTCCTCTTGCATTATGTATTTGTGTAGAATTGTAGAGTATGTATTCTGATGGAAGACCGTTAATGTCAATGCTGATTTATGCTGTATAATTAGGTTGAATATTTTACCAGACAACTTCACTATTTTGATATTTTTGCTATCAACTGTAAAATAAGACAAATATACAAAATCTATTTGCAGAAATTTCTGTGTCTTACAGTTAGAAGACATAAGGACATGGATCCTTCAAACTGCTACCATGGTTACACTCAGTGTCTCCATTTTACTTCTAATTCAGCTGTGACAAATCCTTTTGGTATTGATATGTCTTATTTTAGCGCCTGAAGTAAGTTTTATGAGAAACGGTCCTAGTCTTAATTTTATTGTAATGCACGTGAAATAATAATGCTAACCTTCATAGTATAGTCATCAATTGTTATATCAAATCTATTTTGTTATGATAGTAAGGTGTAAATGCCAGCATTTTTTTCATGCAGAAATTCGGCGAAATTTATTTCACGAATTATCTTAAGGTTTCACTGAAGGCGATGGCGAAGCAATACTTGTTATCAGACTATTGATGTATGTACACATTACATAGTGTTAACCTGTTGATACCGCTCTCACTGGGTCAGTAGCAGTTTTAAACGTAGAATTTAAAACTCCCATGACTAGTAGATACCTGTATTCTATGCTGCAGTTTTTTTAACGATTGGTTGATTATCACAGCCAATGAAAATCGTCGTTTTGAACACATCGTGGTAGGATTGTGGTTATTTTTCGGATGTTATTGTTCTTGTATGAGAAATGAGAATGTCAGTCACGTGTTAAAACTGTTTCATAACTCTATATGTGTCAGGTATATACAGGTAGTACGTGCCAGGTAAATGAGAACATATTGTCACCTGGTTTTAAAACACGTGTTTCAGTAGTCCTACACGCTCGACGACACACCATGTCGACGTTAGCTATGACGCTGTTGATCAATCATTTATGTACATTTCCCCTCTATCATTAAGAAAAAAAAACTTAGTCCCGTCTGCATGCTAATTTTGTTCAGAAATATTTGTATCTACCATCCTGTCCAAGTCATCGACGGATATTTGGGTTACCTGAACATTACCCACTCCTGTTCTCGACTGACCGCTGAACTGTTCTCAGACTAAGTCAACTCAGAGTCCTGGACTGACCGCCGAGCTGTACGGACCTTGTCGACTTTCAGTCCTCGACTGACCGCCGAGCTGTACGGACATTGTCGCCTTTTAGTCCTCGACTGACCGCCGAACTATACGGAAATTGACGACTCCTAGTCTTAGACTGACCGCCGAACTATACGGACCTTGTCGATCCTTAGTCCTCGACTGACCGCCGAGCTGTACGGACCTTGTCGACCCTTAGTCCTCGACTGACCGCCGAGCTATACGGACCTTGTCGACCCTTAGTCCTCGACTGACTGCCGAGCTGTACGGACATTGTCGACTCTTAGTCCTCGACTGACCGCCGAACTATACGGACATTGTCGACTCCTAGTCCTAGACTGACCGCCGAACTATACGGAAATTGACGACTCCTAGTCTTAGACTGACCGCCGAACTATACGGACCTTGTCGATCCTTAGTCCTCGACTGACCGCCGAGCTGTACGGACCTTGTCGACCTTTAGTCCTCGACTGACCGCCGAGCTATACGGACCTTGTCGACCCTTAGTCCTCGACTGACTGCCGAGCTGTACGGACATTGTCGACTCTTAGTCCTCGACTGACCGCCGAACTATACGGACATTGTCGACTCCTAGTCCTAGACTGACCGCCGAACTATACGGACAATGTCGACTCTTAGTCTTCGACTGACCGCCGAGCTGTACGGACATTGTCGACTCTTAGTCCTCGACTGACCGCCGAGCTGTACGGACATTGTCGACTTTTAGTCCACGGCTGACCGCCGATCTATACGGACACATTCCTAGTCCTCGACTGACCGCCGAGCTGTACGGACATTGTCGCCTTTTAGTCCTCGACTGACCGCCGAACTATACGGAAATTGACGACTCCTAGTCTTAGACTGACCGCCGAACTATACGGACATTGTCGATTCCTAGTCCTCGACTGACCGCCGAGCTGTATGGACATTGTCGACTTTTAGTTCTCGACTGACCGCCGAGCTATACGGACATTGTCGATTCCTAGTCCTCGACTGACCGCCGAGCTATACGGACCTTGTCGACCCTTAGTCCTCGACTGACTGCCGAGCTGTACGGACATTGTCGACTCTTAGTCCTCGACTGACCGCCGAACTATACGGACATTGTCGACTCCTAGTCCTAGACTGACCGCCGAACTATACGGACAATGTCGACTCTTAGTCTTCGACTGACCGCCGAGCTGTACGGACATTGTCGACTCTTAGTCCTCGACTGACCGCCGAGCTGTACGGACATTGTCGACTTTTAGTCCACGGCTGACCGCCGATCTATACGGACATTCTCGATTCCTAGTCCTCGACTGACCGCCGAGCTGTACGGACATTGTCGCCTTTTAGTCCTCGACTGACCGCCGAACTATACGGAAATTGACGACTCCTAGTCTTAGACTGACCGCCGAACTATACGGACATTGTCGATTCCTAGTCCTCGACTGACCGCCGAGCTGTATGGACATTGTCGACTTTTAGTTCTCGACTGACCGCCGAGCTATACGGACATTGTCGATTCCTAGTCCTCGACTGACCGACGACCTATACGGACATTGTCACTTTTAGTCCTCGACTGACCGACGACCTATACTGACTTTACCAATGTCGAATACTCGATAAACCTTATAGTACTATGGACTTTAACCAAACCCCAGTTCCCGACTTATTGTTGAACAATAGACAACTTTTCCCTCACCTAGTCCTCGATTATCAGTTCGGTTTAACATGTGTTATTTAACTCCTAATCCTCGACTGATCGCCGAGTTAAAAGCGCTTCTGTTCACTCCTAGTTCTGGAACTTACAACTGTGTTATCCCGGCTTTGTACATAGACGGATTCTGTCTCAAAATTTCACTCTTTCATTATATGTAATGTTTTTAAAGTAAAACGCGAATTTGCAGTGTGAACAGGTAAGCACTGTTTTGGTACCTATCATGGTATTTACCTGTACAATCAGCATATCTACACAGGTAGCCATTTTATCTGATACAAGTGGCTTTACTGGTCCACATATCCATTTATAAGTTAATGTGATACAAATAGAAGAAATAAGTATTTATTATGTAAACAAGGGCATCTAATACGAAATATTAACTTAAATTCGTTTAAATTTGTTACTATGGAAACATGTTCAAATTGGCTTGCACAGGCTTTAAACCTTTGTTTTACACAAACCATCTTAAGGACCATCAAGGTGTTCCTCAGTCGGAAGTAGATCTGTCATACTACTCTTCACCACGAAAAACCGTTTACTCAGACCCTGTACTCGTGCTGAGTAACACAATCACTATCATCGTTTTTATCCTTACTGCCGCGAGGATTTAATACATTTGTCGCAATAGTCGCGAATGACGGTTTCCTCAACAATAGCGATATATATATATATATATAAGGGCTGACTGATGCCTATTAATTTTGGTGTTTACCACGAATTGTCTTTCACTTTTTTTTGTATCTTAAGTAATCGTCATCACTGGTGAGGATAGGTATGACTGATTCATTTCTGACTCCGATGCGGTCCTTGGTCCATGTGAAACATGCGGAGAGCCTAGCTGTACATTTTATTTATACGATTTGTATCCGTATCACACCTTTGAGCCAGCTGGTTAAATTGCCATGTAGTATAACACGTTCCACTAAAGCGAAATCTGTTATGAGTTTTCAAAAAAGGCCTTGTATGTTGAATCTTGTATGGTTTATATTGCTACATATTTTTAAGTTTGTAATAAAATTTTTGGTATTTTAAATCGTATTTGTTGTTTTGATTACGAAAGTGACCTGAATTTACTGGTTAGATTCTAATAAATCTAACGCTGATAAAGCATGTCCAAGACATGTCCATACATACAGTATAGTAATGTTCTAGAAAACTCTTTTTAGGGGCATCTTTTCAAATATAATTTGCTCAAAATGACCTGATATTAAGATATTGCTGCAAATACGATCCATTATTTACAGCCGACTGTTGATTTTGATGAACACATGGCTAGATAAAAGGACAGACTTTTATTGCCGAACTAAAGCTACTTGAAGCTTTCGTTGTAATCGAAAATACATTTGTGTCATGTGTCATTTTAAAGTCTCTAAGATATGTAAACGTGATGACAGAAAAAACGAATTTGTTGAAAAGAGTATGTAAGGAAAAAATATCATTTTTTTTAAACCAAAGCGATGCTCGCAGACTTTTGCAAATGCCATGATATACAGGCAAATTGTTACTTACATCAATCAAATTTCATCTTCCTATCTTCTCCGAGATTGTTTCTTATCCTGGTTCTCAACAGAATGGTTCACACATCTACAGGCAGTTCTCTAACCATTCTTGTCATCTGTCTTTTAAGTTTCTGTATCAATTTTATTATTCTGTCACAGATACCGCTAAAACAAAAGATATATGTTTGTATAAAAGACGATGTCTTTTTAATACATATTGTAGTTTTTCTTAATTCGAATTATACGCTATTTCCAATTTGTCTGAAAACATATTTTGATAATTAAAGCTAAAGTAAAAAGATTTGACACAATTTATGAAACCATACCCTTTAGACTGTCAATTACTATTCATTTAGCAAGGAAGAGATTTTAAAAAAGTTCATAATCAAATATTTTAAAATTTCCCGCTGGATTTAAGTTTTAGTCTGTTTGAATTATATATAATATATTTCCAAAGATTGTTCATTTCCACACAGTTAAAATGTCAACCTTATGTGAATAACTATATTATTTAAATTCTGCCAAACAGTACAGCGCGAGCATTAGCCTTACACTCTGTGGAATGATAAGCACTTCCACTTTGCACCATTCAGGACTAAGTTTAAGGAAGGACCTAAACTCAGATAAATATATTATTCAACTGCCTGTTCACCCAATAAGACACCTTTGAAAACATATCTTGTTTGGGATGATCTGACATTATGGTGTCAATTAATCTATTTGTTTAATGTAGAAAGTTAGAAATAGAGAAACTGCTGTTAGGAATTCTATAGTAAACATTTGTTGAGTATATCGACTGTTGTATTGGGTAACATAATCCTGAAACAGTTTGGAGTCTTGTATCTATTCATTTTACATATCAATCGAAGTATTGTTTCTTTTTTTCGGGCAATATTGTGTACAGTTTCTGTATATAATCACATACTGTTTCTATGTGACTGACTTGTATCCAAACATCTACAAATATCAGTAAAATGAAACTTTTCTATAAATAAAACTTTACTAAAAAATTAAATACTTGAGGCTATTGTTATAAAGAATCTTAATTTCAAGACATGAAAAAAAACTTGAAACGAGGTATCACATTTCTACGAATTACGAGAAATACATCACCAATACCATTTAGTGAAACTAGCATCGGTCGGATTACCAAACTTCGGCGTTCCTCTTATTTCTAGATGAAAAAAAGTAAAGGCTCCCAAATAAGACATTTTCATTGCGTAAGTGTAAATAATATGAAAACCACTGTAATGATACACATAACATTGCCGCACCTTTCTACTTTCACGCCTTCTGTGTGTAACACAATAAGAAGTTCTTTAGGTAAAAAGTTGCTCTTTCTTAAATGATTCAACTATGACATATAAAAGACATATTCAGCATTATTGATAATGTCCAAATAAGGATATAGAACATGATCTTCCTCTTGAACCTTTATAGAAAGAGGTGTAAAATTTCTCTATATTACTTCATCTGTCTGTCATAACACACCACCGATTCCAGTGTGAAAGATTGAACTGGGAACTTCCGCATTACAGTTATACGTCTTCATCTTATTTAATAACGCAGAAAATGTTTTACTTTCTTTAGAAGAAATTATCCTGAAAAGCATATCTTGATACATTTTTGATGAAATTAATGAACAACTTCTATTGCGATACCGTTTTAAAATAGATTTCATTATCTCGTCCATGTCCGCCGAACGTGTTAGTGTAAAATCATTGTTATATAGAAGCAGTACATTAAGCACGAAACAAGTCAAGAAAAACTTGTGAAATTATTTGGAAATTTGCGAGAGTGCATAGCTATTTATCGCCAGCTCTATTTAGCAATTAAAACGAAACTTCCGAACTACAGAGGTCCAGATACACCTCTAACTACAGTTTACTAACATAATGCCGATTGTGTTTCCAGTAATATTATTCTTGCCATCATGGATTACCTCTTTCCTTGTGGATGGGGGCCGGGGGTATTGTTAGAGTGCAGGTACAGATACAGGTACTTACAAACTTTGATAATGTCTTAATTTCAACCATGGAGGTCAATGACGAGGCTGCATTCTCGTCAAACAGGGTAATGGAAGTCGTCACATTTTTTCAATATAATTTGTTTTTGCTGGATTTATCGCTCAATAAACAGCCAAGATTATTTTGAGACTTGAGTCTCCTATCAGTACGGCTGATTACCTGACTGAACAACATACGGGAGGCCTGTCGCATGCTATCAAGAGCAAGTTGGATAAGGACAGTACCGACCGGCCCGTTTTGCGGCTACATTCCTGAGAAAAGCAAGCCGCCATGGGTAGGGTACAGGTGGGAAGGCACCACAAGTCATATACTACTCCTACATCAGTGTAGAGTGTCGTTACTTCTCCTCAGTTCTACGACCGTTTAGACAACAGTGTAAATTGACTCAGAAACCTTGTTAGTTGTCTGCCTAATGACAAAATCGGTAATGCGGCATAAAACATATCCTGTGGGTATCTGCGCATTAAGTAGGCCAAGTGAAAAATACAGATTAAGTACATCTAGCTCGCAGCAAAGTTC